TATAAAGGGTCAATGGGATGACTAGAGTTCAGTTTGCTTGAAATCAAGCTAAGGCACATTCACAGAAAACCTGATACATGTCACACTCAGTAAAGAAATAAAGGATGGAAGAATAATTAATTCCAGACAATATGGCTTTACACATAATAGATCTTGTCAACCAACTTTATGTATGAAACTACAATACTAGTCTGGTTGAGAAAGGTAATTATTGACACAATCTACTTTGAATTCTGTAAGGTGGGCACCATAGTTGGAGGAACACAGGACTGGAAAGGAATCTGGGGGCCATTTAGGCCCATCTTACACCATCACAGGTGCCTCTTCATATAATCCTTTTCAAAATGATATCAAGCTCCATCCCAAAAGCTGTTATGTCTTTGATCCTACCACACCTATAGGAGGCTCCTCCAGAATCTCATTGTTATGAGGGGTAGAAACCTTCTTGTTTCTTGCTGAAAACGTATGCCTGGTCTCTATTTATACCCATTTAGTCTTGTAGCAATGCTGTCTTTTACCTTAAACTTTGCTTTCTCCATCTTGGTGCTTGCTCCCCAATGTATAGACAGCCACTGTGCACCCTTTTAGCCTTTGCTTTGCTAAGTTACACAAGCCAAGTTTTTTCAGTTTCCTTTTCATGGACAGAATCTTCATTCCTCCAGTCATCCTAGTAATCCTTTTCTGTACAATTTTCAGTTTCACTTAATCTTAAACACAGATGACTGGAGTCGTACACAATATTCCAGATGGGTCCCCACCCAAGTTCTTGTACAATGGCACCAATATTTCTGCCTGTACTGGAAATATCTCAATTGCTATGTTGTGGATCACCCTTTCCAAGATAGCATCACATTGGCAGCTTATAGCCATGCTGTGAATGACTAATACATCCAAGTCCACCTCAGTCATTTCTACTTGATGAATTCCCAGCAAAAATATTTATTAGTCCTCAAGTGCATCCTCTTGCACTTGAGGACTATACTATTGAGTTTCATACCTTTTATATTAACTCTGGTCCATAGAGTCATCCAATTGTTTCATCTGGTATTTGCAATACAGCTTCCCAACTTTGTCCAATTAGCAGATATTATGAGTACACTCCTCATGCATGCCAAAGTTATTAGTGAAGATATTTAAACAGGATCCACCTCAAAACTGATCCTTGAGGAACTCCACTAGTAACATTCCTTTGGTCTACTATCTCCCCTTTCAAACCAATACACTGCTGTCTCCTTCTGAGTTAACTTCTTTCCCCTATTAGAACCCGTCCACTAATCCTTGTCTCTCCATCTTACCTAATAATTTCCTGTGTGGTAGCATATCAGTGCTTCATTGGAGGCCTGAGAGATGAGAAGATCCACATTTCTTGCATCTAGAAAGTCAGTTACCTTATCAAAGAAACCTATTACCTACTAGTCTAGCATGATCAGCCTTTGGTAAACCCATGTTGCATTTTATTTTATATTCCACTTACTGCCTCATTTAAATGTAAAATTATCCTTTTCACCAAAATCTGTTCTAAAACTCTGAATACTACTGAAGCCAGACTTACAGATGTACAAAGGCAAGACTTACAGATGTAGAGCTGGGCAGTGGCATTCACAGATTCACACAGATTCACAGAATTTTGGGGCTGGAAGGGACCTCATGAGATCATCAGGTCCAGCCCCTCTGCTCTGGGCAGGGAAGACTGCTGGGGTCAAATAACCCCAGCAAGGTGCGAGTCCAGTCTCTTTTTTAAGATCTCCAAGGTAGGTGCCTGCACCCCCCCATTGGGAGTCTATTCCAGAGTCTGGTCACATAAACCGTGAAGAAGTTTTTCCTTATATCCCATCCCCAATCTCAAGTGCAGCCTAACATCCTGATAAAAATAATGAATGCTATTTACAAGCATCAATGCAGCCCATGTGAATATGGATTCAAAACTGGTTAACAAGTCAATTGAAAAAGATAAAAGTAAATGAGAATTCTTCAGCCAACAGGAATATTTCTAGTGGGGTCCTGCAAGAATCCATTCTTGCCCCAGTGCTATTCTATACCTTACTTTATTTCATTTCATGGACATTTCATAGACTTGTAAGGATCATTACTTGTAATATGTGCAACTGATACTGAACTGACCTGGAATTCTTGGTGAGATTGACATCTTTGAACAACATGGTTTAATACAGCCAAAACCCAAAATTGGGCACTTTGTTTCAGGTCAAAGATTTTAGATAACCATCACAAGTTGGGGTACCGCATCACAGAACTCAGGAACAAAGAGCTTGCACACAATAGCAGATAACCAACTGAACATGAGGCCCAAGCTGATGCTGTAGCTAAGTGGCCAATGCAGTCTTTATAATTAGGATCATATCTAGTAGCTGAAGAGGGGTGGATTTACTTCTGTATGGTATCACTCACTAATGCTATATTACTGAAAACTGTGTCCAGTTCTGAAATCCATACTTCACAGGAGTCATTAAAATATTAGAAAAGGTTCAGAGATACCAGAATGATTTAAAGTGTCAAAAACATGATATATAACAAGAGACTTAGAAGCTCAATCTATTTAATTTATCCGAAAAAAAAAGGTTATAAACAGAGTTAATCATGGGTCTTAAACATTTTACATGGGGAGGATATTTTTTATAATAGATAGCTTTTTAATCTTGCTGAAAAAGGCATAATGAGATCCAAAAATTGTAAGCTGACGCTAGGTAAACTCAGACCTCAGCTTTCATTTAAAAATCAAAAAGATTTTATCCCTTGTGGAAAAAGCTGGGTTTTAAAAATAATATTTTAAAGCTACAAACAGCAAGGAATTCAGTTCTGTTGTTTGAACACAATGCTGTGTCCATCTAAATATTTACCTATAAGAAAAAAAACCCTAGCAGTATATCCCGTTGCACAAAACATAAGACCTTGTCTCTTTAATGTGCTTATTTCTCAAAATAGCAGCTTAGAAAGCAACGTTCTAAATATAGGCCTCAGGTCTGCCTGGCTCCTAAGCACTTATCCAACTTTAAGCATATGAGCACTGAGCAGTCCCACTGAATTCAGTAGGACTACTTGGCTCTTTAAAATTAGGTACATTCTCACAAACACTGCTGAATCAGGGCTGTGAGAATAAACTAATGAGCAGATGAGGAGAAAGGACACAGCCTCTCACTATAATAAAAAAACGCTCTGCAGAATCACTGGTTGTGATTATAGATTATACTACACATTAAGCAGTTGCTTTGGCTGATGGGAAAATAACTCCCTTTCAATTCAGAGCAACTAAAAGACTGGACAGGACATTTCTGCCTATCCCACGGGCGATCAGTCCAACAGCTGCTACTAAATTATTTTCAGAGACTTCCTAGTTAGGGCAGATATAGAAATGCACAGTCTCCTCCTGGCCTCCCCCGAGCCAAGCCCTTACTGGAAAGAACAGTTGTTGTCCCCGCTGCGGATGCAGGGAGATTTAAGGAGCTGCTGCAGGGGTCAGGGCAACAAAAGGAGCTCCCAAGAACTAAATCCCACTAATCCAAGGGCAGAGCCTTAATATGGCATGCCTGCAATTACTGGCTGAAGTTAAATGTGAGTGAGTCTCTGCACAGACAGTTCAGAGGGGGGCACCATTAGAGCCCCACAGGGGCTGAATTTGGGGTCGGGGGCAGGCTTTGAGGGGATATCGCAACACAAAACACCTGGAACCAGAGGATCACTTGTGCCATGTATGATCAGGAAGCCTTTTGACTCTGCATGGGGTGTGGAGAATTCAGCCCCCTTTATTCAACTACGTGGTGCCATGTAACGAGTGTTTGGAGACTCATCATCATCAGCCATCAGGAGTCCCAAGGCGAGAACTGTCCCTGGTGCTGAACATGCATTGCCTTTACCTATACCAGGACCAGGTTTCAAGAAGTAGCCCTGCCGCTAACCTGGAGCTGATTGTCTGTAGGGTGATTTATTCAGGAGGATTATTTCCCTTGGGCTACAGAATCTGTGGAGTGTATTTCTAGAACATGCTGGACCGTGGGATCCCTGCAATTCTGTATTTTGCATCTCGGGGACAGATGATCTAGGATAGCAACACTGCTGCAAGAATGCACTGGTGACCCGGTGAGTAGAGGGTGTCTGCTCATTTTAGAGAGCAAATCTACTCTGATCAGCCAACTTTTCAAATAAAATGACATTTTATTGTAAAGAAAAAAGTGGGGAAATCGCTGTGGGTTTCTGATGTTGGAGCCTGGATGTGACTAGAAAGGTTCCTATTCCCAGGGTATTCGTGGGAGTTGATTTTTATATTTTAAAGGAATAATGATGGCACATCCCTTTACAGTCTCTGTGCTTGAGTGTTACTTAACAGACCTTAATCCTCCTTTTTCTCCACACTGTGATTATCTTTCTATCCATCCTTCATTTTACGGGGTTTAAAATACAACACACTGCACACTAAGTTACAAAAAGTTCTCATTTAATCTATGTGTTTTATAGTTATGCACACATAGGATTTGAAACTTCATTCTTTATACACACAAAATCAGTAAGAGGTTCTGCAAAGACTGTGGGTTCATTCCCATTTCACCTTTATATTCTCTTTCATGGATTTTATTTTTGTTTGCAATCCACCCTTCAGTAGAATTAAATGTTTCATTTCAGTGGATAAATTGGGTTCATATTGTTTGCTTCAAAAAACAAAGGCAATATGGATTTTAAAATATGCCTCCTGGTATAAAAATAATTACTGATTTAGTATTACAGTGGTTGTGCATTTCAGAATGAATGCAAGTACATTTATCTCTCTAATCATAAGTATTATATAATCTAAGACAATTTATTATTGTGATACTTATTGTTAGGATTAATAGTAATGAATGTTATTAATAATACATATCGATAATATAATATATAATAAAATAGTATAATGGGAAAAAGAAGAGTATAAACTGTAGCAGCAAATTTTTGTATCCCCTAGAAAGCATGCTTAAACTTGTATCATGATGAATGAGTGCTGCATTTTCAAACAGAACAGCTGCAAATACATGCACAATTTACCATGAGAAAGGTAAATGCAGTCTGCTTTTCTTCCAACAGCTGGCAGAACGCCGTATGGGCTCCTGAAGAATTCAGCTTGGCTCTAACCTGCTGTAAGACAATGTCCTTTCTCCCGCTGTGTTTTAACAGCTTGTTCCGGGTGCTGTGGAAGAACATTAGATTGCATCAGTCCAGTGTTTTGAGGTCCTATTGGACATCTTCATTTTTGGAGGCTCTGGGGTGGCTGGTTTTGGGCATAATCATGCTTAGCTGTCCAGCACATTGTGAAGCCTTTAAAATGGGACTAGTAGGACCCTGGGATTGTGACCCCTTCTTTTCCAAAGCCTTTCCTGAAGTGGCTGCTAAGTTAGCAGTGGACCGAATCAATGAGGACCCTTCTCTAGATCTTGACCAGGAGTTGGATTACATAATCCTACAAGAAGGATGTGAAACGTCCAAAGCCCTGGCTAGATTCCTTGACTTTGAAATAGTTTCATCAGTTTTTGTAGGCCCTCTGAACCCTGGATACTGTGATGTTGCTACATTGTTAGGGAATAATTGGAATAAAGCCATCTTTTCATGGACGTGCATCAACTCTGAGCTGGATGCGGCCATAAATGAGCTTACACTTGCAAGGACCTTGCCTTCCCCAATCAGGGTTTTATTCATTTTAATGAAATACTTTCACTGGGCTCACATTGGCATCATCTCTTCGAAGGAGGATATCTGGGTGGACACTGCGTACCAGCTGGCTAGGGCTTTCAGGAATGAAGGACTTCCTGTAGGAATTGTAACCTCGATGGGTAATGGGGACAAAGACACTGACAAGGCTTTGAAGGAGATTGCAGGCGTTAAAAGCATTAGAAGTAAGTGTTTTATATATTATTTTATTTGTTTGCTAGTTTGGCATCTATTTTACCTAGAAGATTAAAAATATACAGAGTGCAACCCCAACCCCATCAAAGTCAATGGGACTTTTGGTATTGACTCCAGCAGAGCCAGGATTGCACCTGTCTGTAACTGAGACTTCCTTCAAACATTCAAACATCTTGTAGTACTCCTTGTGGAAAGAGTGCTGAAGTGATTTACAGCAGGTGAAGATCTGTCCCAGATCATTTGAGAAGATAACACTTAGCAGAGGCCTATCTAAAAATGACCTTGCAAATTGTACAAAGAGGCTACTGGCTGGTTAGATCCCAGATACAGTTTGCTTTTTCTTTTGACCATTTCTATTCTTTAGTCTGAGCACATCCTTTCAAAGTGCCCATGGTGATAAAAAAGTTAGACTGAAGATGGAATCCAGAGATAGCACATTGTTACAGAAAGGCAGGAGCAATGAGAAAAAATCCTGTACCAAGGCATATGAAATAGCTGCCTCCCTGCTATTTCATATCTTACTTTCTCAAAGTCCTTGGGTGCATGAATTCTATAACCTGTCTTATTTTGTTCAGAGTGGATGGACATAATGCTGTATATTTTAGGATTGTGGTCCTAAACTATACAATGGAGTGACATGGTTGTAGAGGATGAGCCACAGAGGTATGTTTTGCTAACTGAAGGGGCATCCTGGAGTTTAGGTTATACATATACCAGCATTAGAAATAAGTGTTTTATGTCAGGAGCTAATACAATCTACGATATACCAGGAGCTAATACAATCTCAGAAATAGGAGTATGTGAAGAAAGCAGCGCAACAATCCATCCTTGGATTGGTTTAGATTTGGTCTGGGATGAAAGGACAGATTCAGGCTGAAGTTTCAGATTCAGCGACTTGGGAGTTGTCCTCACAGGTGTGTCACCTATCCAAGACAGAAACGGTGCAAGGGGAGGGGAAGGAGTCAAGACCCTTGTGGTTTTAAACTTGAAGTAGATCCAAATGCTGTTCCTCAAATGGAAAGGGTCACATCTTGGCTGGCCATTGTATAATGGTGCATACACAGTATGGAGGCACACAAGAGGCCCCTCACCCCCAGCGACCCAGTGGTCAGCCACAGCTCCTTGATTATCACTTCTGCCCAAAGGGTGGCAAACTTTCCTGGGGCATAGTGCCTCTTGGAGGGTCCAGGCTCAGAGTAGGCCTGTTATTAAAAGACCATTTGGCTCACCACAGTTAGAATTTCAGCTTCC